ATTAGTCAATAGAATCATCCTTTTTTTCACTAAAAACACTCCACGTGCACTTACTGTACTTCTTTGAATGCTGTTCCACAATAGCTTTACCTCTTCAAACTAGCCTTTCACGCTCCAGTGTAAAGCAGTGACCTTTTCTTACTCCTCTTGATATAATTAGTCAATAGAATCATCCTTTTTTTCACTAAAAACACTCCACGTGGTGGATATAGTTGTTCTTCCTAGTCCCAGCTTCAAAAGAATATAGTTACCACTACGTTCTTTTATGCATAGTGAAATATTGTGTATTGAAATATATTCTGCACATCTTCGGCTAATTCTGCCTTCTGCTTTCTTTCATACCACACAATAACTAAAATATTCAATGTTTTATCTTGTGGTCCAAAGGCCCTTTGAGAGTATTCATTTGAACAATCAGATATTGCTATTGTCAGCTCAATCACAACAGCTTATACTCTTCAGGGAGTAGTCTTAAAATCACCTTCTCTAAGATAAGGACAAAGATTCTTTGGTTACTGTTATTTTGTTTCTCTATTCCTTGGCATTTGATTTTGATTTTGATTTCGTTGCTTTAGGTGCTGTGCACTCTCCAAAGACTATGAAGCCACATGCCTTAAATTTCTCATGCATAAGGACAGTCTATATGAGTATAGATGTTCTTCACTCCACAAAAACACATATCAAGGTAAACTCACTTTAAATAAATGGATGCCTGGAAAGCTCAATGGAATCATATCCCCTGAGGGGAATCTTGCTACCAAAAAGAATCATGCTGAAACTCCTATCATAAAGAAAGGTTTTTTTCCTAATAATAATAAAATTACCTGATGAGATTACCTTTTGCTTATATCTAGATTTTCTTATTTTTTGCTTAAACATCATATATATGGAATTTAAGTAAATAATACTCATTTAAATCTTTGGGCGAGAAATAACAACTTACCAGAATGAAATGTTTCCAGCAATGCCATTTTGGTCGATTTCCATTGCATAAACATGGTGCTAGTGAAAGTTTGATTACATAATTATTCTACTGATATCCCTTTTCTTTAACACTGAGTACTGTGAAGCCCACAATGTGAACCAATCCCTGCTCTGAAAAAGTTTATAGTCTAGGTAAGAAACACATATCAATTAGAAATAATTAGAGAGGACAAAAATTAATAATCTGCTAATTGGATATAGGGAAATAAACATTAAAAATCATTAGAAAGATCTTAGGCTGAAGAAGCAGTTAGAGAGGATGGGACAACTGGGAGACGCTGAGGGAAGGTCTGAATAAGCAGAGGCTTGAGGAAAAGCCTCCGGACATCAAAACTAAGGTACAAATGAGTGCTGAATGGGTAAGGGTTGAGGAGATGAAGGGCTTCTGACTTGGGTAGAGAGTTTGTAATAAAGAAAAGTAGGAAATCATGTTACATTACTAAAAGTAAGATCAAATAATAGGCAATACTAAACATATTTGAAGAAACAGTTAATAAGGAGCAAAATGTAAAAAATGATGACTATATTGAAGGAAAATTTAAAAGGCAGGTAGTCAAAAGGTGGATTGACAGAGAGCAATTTTGGGCAGGAAGCCCAGATATGAGGTGATAACATTAATTTAGAGATGAAGGTAGTCTAAGTAGGTATAGAGGAAGAAATTGGGAGACCAGTAGTCACTAACAAAGAAAAACAGAGTTTTGGGGCTCTGTCAAGTGCATGCATTCTCACATCCTTCTGTAATATTCACTTGTCAACACCTGTCTGCCCCGAAAACCAGACATAGGCTCCAAGAAATCAGAGGCTAGCCAGTTTTGTTCACTACTACTTAGCCAGTGCCTCTAACAGTATCTGGCACACAGTAGGAACTCCATGAATATTTCTTGAATATTTATCAATCCAAAGTATAGTTTAAAGTTCATGTTTCTTTTGAAACTTTTCCCAATTCTTTCAGGTAACAAAGCAGCAAAGCTTAGTAGGAAAAACAGATTTTGGAATCAAGTAGATCTGTGTTCAACTACTGACCACTACCTACAAGCATTTTAATTTGAACTAACTACTTAACTTCCGATTCTCAGTTTTCTCAGAGAATATTATTCATCTTATGGTGTTGTCATGAGGTTCAGAGATGATGAATATATACCCAGCATCCATCTAGGCACATAATAGTTGCTCAGTCTATGAGAGCTGTTAACTAAGAGCAGGTTATCACTTGATCATGCTCTCTGACAGCATTTATCACTTTGCATTCGAGAGTAACATGTCTATCTTCTCTTCCTCAGTACACAAACTTTTTGCTGTATCACTCATTTCTTTAAAATGCCTAGAAAATTTCTCTCTCAAAATCCATCACCCACCACTGGAACCCCCCTGGTCTCTCCTGCCGTAATGAGGGGAGTGCCATGGACCTCGACCAAGCCCCCCCCTTCCTACTTCTCCCACTCTATTTCTTTCCCCTTCCCCTCTTCCCCTCCCCTCCATTTGCTCCACAACATCTTAGAATGTAAAAGAAAAAAATATATTAATAAATAAATAAATTTTTTAAAAAGAAAAGAGTATAATAGATGACCACTGAGAAACCACTGTACAGGTATACTGAAAATGAGCAAATAAATACGAGGTATTTTAAAAAAAATTTCATCACAAGCCCCATCTCAGTAAAATTTGTTGTTCAATTAAACTTCAGTACTTTCTCTCTGTTTCAATGTCATAACTTTTACTCTTGTATCTAAGAATAATTTATATTTAAGTTTGTCTTCATTCTTGAAATATGAGCTGTATAAAGACAGGGATGTTAGCTTCTATTATTTGAGCCTAGTAAACTACCCTGGGCATACATACTCCTTATATGAAAGATAAATGCAAAAATTGTGAAGTTACATGACACAATATCCATCAGGCAAGTGTAGATTAAGAATACGATGCCTATCAGAAGATATTATCTTCAACAGAAATTATTCTTAGAAAAGGCTGGTTGGTTAGCTCAGCTGTCAGTTGGTTACAGCTCAGTGTTGGTAACACCAAGGTAAGGGTTTGGATCCCCATACAAGCCAGCCACCAAAAAAAAAAAAAAAAAAGAAGAAGAATAAAAGAAAAAGAAAGAAAGATAAAGTGAGCAGGGATTACTGAAAAAAATTAGATATAGACAGACTTTAGAAATTCTATCTTGTAGGGAGTTTTGATTAAGTAATCAAAGAGAGTTTAGAAAAGCAGGTCTTACTTATGTTTTTTATATACCTGTTCTGATACTGATAATAGTAGCTGTTGCTTTCTACTTGGGAGTTTGATCCATGAACTTTTTTGATCTGTTCCTGATTCCGGGAACCAGTGATTACAAGACCTCAGTTTGTCACTGAATAGCACTTACTAAGCTCCTGCAATGTGCAGAGCAAAGAGGCTGGTGAAACTGATCACTAGATATGGAGAATCCAGTCTTCTCTGAGATCAGCAATCTAATTAGACAGACAGAAATAATGAAAAAGAATGTAGCCAAAGTCAGTTTCACATCATATCCTCAGATAAGGTTGATACTTTGGTGATATCACTGTGCTATCAAGATGTAAAGCTGCAGTGTATAAACAAAATCCTTCAGTTTTTATCTGGTGTCTTGTAGAATAAACAAATGATTTCATTTTATTTTCATTTCAACTAGTTGCTATGGGCTTGGCCACAATGAGTGATGATTGATACAGACATATATATCTATCTATATATATATATATATTTGAAGTAAGATTTTTCTTTACTCTTTAAATCTAAATTTATTCACTTACTTGAAACTGAATGGTGATATCTAATTAAGCATTTCAGGACATTTATAGAATTTAAAAATCTATTAATGCATTTGAAGAAATGCATTGATTTTTCCTGGAAAGCATGGTGCTCTTGTGCATATTATATCAAATCCAGATCTTATTTTTCAATAAAAGAAATAGAGTACTTTATCTACTATAAATTATATGAAATCTATATTTTTAAAGTATAGCCTCTGGTAGACAGAAAATTCTGTATAAGTCGGATATTTCATTATTTATTGATTCATATCCACTAAACATGAGAACGTATAATTTTACTCTTAAATGGATGGTATTAGTAAAGTGTGGTAATTTTAATACTCTAATGCCAATGTACTGACTTATATTCTTTATTAATCTTTAAAATAAGTTTACAAATATTGGGGGAGAAAATTATTTTTCAGTATTACACTTTACCTTTTTATATTATATAACTTACTTTTGATATTAGTGTTATTGTCTGAGAACCCAATGACATTAAGAAGCACATTTAGCAAATGTAAAATTACCTTTAGCGTGTAGCCTTTAAAAAAATAATATATGTTATGTAGATATAATACCTGACTAAAGAAGAAAACAACATGCATATGTAAAGTCAAATTGATGGTCCCATAGAAAAGATTAAATTCAAATGGCTACCAGCAGAGCCCAAATAAAATGATCAATACTCCTAAAAAACAATGCTTTAATCGTCAAATGAAATTATAGGGATGCCATGAAGATGTGTAAACCCAAGATATAATTGCGCCTGGAAGTGGCTGAGCTCCCAAGCAAATCATCCCTATTAGTTCCTATTCATGATTTAAAATATGCTATTTTATCTCTTCATAACATGCAGCATTTTTTTATCCTCACATTTCTAGGCATTTTAGCTTCTGCTGACATAAATGCATTCCCAAAATAGAATGTTACAGCAATCTTCTGCAAGACATTTAAGCCCATTTGTGCATTTATATCTTAGAATGCTTTTTTTGAACCTTCTATCTGTGAGAGGGATGGGAAGGTAGTGTTAGAATGAATGATTCCCAAAATAGAATGTTACAGCAATCTTCTGCAAGACATTTAAGCCCATTTGTGCATTTATTTTTTAGAATGCTTTTTTTGAACCTTCTATCTGTGAGAGGGATGGGAAGGTAGTGTTAGAATGAATGAGAGCATGTTTTCCAAAGTGACACTAGACATTTGATCTACGATTAAAAAAAAAAAAAAATCACAGCCTCCTACCTTGAAAACAAACATCTCACGGCGAAGAATAGCTAGAGTGTTAAAGTTCCCATCACAGATGTTAGGTTTGGCTCCAGGATAGGAAGGTCTGCCGGTGGGAGGCCGAGGAGGTTTTGGCCTGTCATTTTTCCTCGGGTCAGCCGGAGGAATAGAGCGGTGTGGGGGCACTGTCGGTAGAGGTCTTGTAGGTGGAGGAATCTTGTCAGGTGGACCTTTTGAAAATATGAGGACAGTGCTTGGCTCACTTAAAACTGGAATAGTGCTGGAAAATATGCTACAGAGAACAATCACTTATAAGGAGGGGGCACAGACTGAGTGAGCTAAGAGGTCTTCAAGATTGTATATTTTCTGAAAAACAATCCATCTTACCCAACAAACCATTGCCAAGTCTATCAGAAACTGTCCTATCATGCTAGATTCTAGATCAAAGTAACAAGGTTTTCTTTGTTAATTTTTAATGGTATTTTTTAGAGCCTCACCACAGTCCTTATTGGAAAAGCTGCTTTCAAATCTTTTATGGAAGTAGGTGATGTATAAATAATAAATAGATGAAAATGAATACTAGAGCCATACATGTAAGCTCCACCAAACGTAATCCTAGATTTTGACAGGCAATAATTCTCTGCAAATACTTCCAAAAGATAAACATTATCTAATCAATGTTTATTCTACTCTGTGTCTCCAACTATATTTTATAATATTTTACTGATTTTCACTATTGTATTCTAATGAAATGTTTTGACAAATTGCTGGAGGAGTGTTTCACTTAAATACTAAATATAAAAACACCTATTGATTAAAAGACCACAAGTAAAATATTTATGTAAAGAAGTATTTCTAAAAAGAGGCTTTTAAAACAAGCCAAAGTTTACACATGTAATTTTGCACAGATGTTAAGCATCATTTCTCAAGGGGCTTATGTTTTTAAAAAGATATACAGAGCTATTTCACGTAATATTTAGGTATGGGAAGAATATTCTTCTGCAGACCTTCAGTCTAGACTACTAATTCATAAGGTCATGAGAAAGAGACTTCTTTCAGTTAACCACTTAAGAGGAATTTCTGATGACAAACACTTAGGCACAGGACAGCTCAATTCAACATATGAGCTATTTAACTTTGAGTCTGAGATATTTCTCTTTTCTTGGAATCCCAACAAAATAAAGAGCAGCACAAAAGTTGACCTTTTTTCTCCAAATCTATTTTAACCCTGAGAGAATGCTTACCACTGAGATATTGAGATTGAAAAACTAATGAATGCAAAACAAATTAGCGAATTTAAACTGTGCTGTTTAAAAATGCAAATGACATTTTCTAGATACTGGTTATTAACATACAGATAGCACACATTTGTCTTTGTACTGTAAAAATAAAAGCTTCGCCTCATTAATTTAGTAAAGCATATTTGCTATACGTAAGTTATAAATGTTAAGTAAGTTCTTAACAACAATGTGTGAAATCAATGTCTTTATAAAGGTCAGTGGTTTTACCGAGGGAGTTAGGATTATAGTAAATATGCATAATAGTCTTTCCCCTTTTCTCTTAATTTGCATTCATTGACCAAATTCCATACATAAAAACGATATCACCCTACTAGAAACTTATTTTGCGCTATGTGTTCATAAACTTAGTCATTTGTTAACTTTCCCTCCCCGGTTTATTTACTTTTACGCTGAGTCAGTAATTACATGATTTGGGGTCAACTTGCTATATCATCAAAGAAAGGTATTTTCCCAGCCTTCAAAAGTGTTTAGTCTAGAAACTATCTAACATCAAATCTTACAAAGTGTGAGCCAATCTGTCACTTTGTACCAAAGTCTCAGCAGTTTATACATGAAAGTCTTATATTTCTCACTGTTTTTATTGGTTATAGTAATTTATTACATATTTTTATCTGAATTTTAAATACTAAAATTGATTAGACTTTTTTTTGTAACTGCAGGTTTCAACTAAACTCAATAAGAACTTCATCAGTGTTAAGACTTTCCTATAATCTACACATTAAGATATCTGGGACTGTTGCCAACAAAACTTGATTGTCAGAAGAATTTTGCCAATAGTCAAGTATTTCTTTTTTTCTTCTTCAGTTTCTACCTCTTATATTCTTAGAGAAACTATCACAAAGAAGAAAACACAGCAGGAATTCTAGACATCACTATATGGTTAACCAAACAAGAACAGTGGTAACCTACCATATATCTTCTGGATGCCCTGCAAATCATCGTTAGGTAGTTTGAAGTTGTCTGTTTCCATGTATTGGTAAAATGGAGCCATGATGGCAGTGGGGTCATTGGAATGCTCCAATCCCAAAGCATGTCCCAGTTCATGAACTGCTACAAGAAATAAATCATTTCCTGTGCAAATGAGAAGAAAAGACATTATTGTAACTAATATCCAAGTACACATTTGACAGGGACAATTTGGTGTTATCAAAATTTCACCCAAGGAAAATAGGAGGGACTCTTTACTTCAACTGTCAATATAATTTTATGGCTTCCCTACTGGCAAAGTCCAATATCTTTCTATTAAAGATGGTGGGAGGAATACATTATGATGATGAAGTCACAAAGTTTAGAAACTGGATTGCAAGAATAAAAATAAAAGTTGAGGAAAGAGCAGTAGCTCCAGAAACTGATACTACTGCTGTTAGAAAATCCTTCCAATTATGAAGCACATAATTTACATGATACTTTTATAATTCTAAAAAGAACTCAGTAAAAAACACAGGGCAGATACATCTTTACTTTTATACAGACGGGTAAATTAAGGCACAGAGGTGATAGTCTTGTCAATTACATCACATCTTTGTATTTACAGAGCTGCAACTAGAACTCAAGTTATGATTATATAATTCTAAAAAGAACTCAGTAAAAAACACAGGGCAGATACATCTTTACTTTTATACAGATGGGTAAATTAAGGCACAGAGGTGATAGTCTTGTCAATTACATCACATCTTTGTATTTACAGAGCTGCAACTAGAACTCAAGTTATGATTTCTCTTAGACTAAGGCTTTAATTTCTTACTAGCCCAGAATATACAAATATAAATACAAAGTAGTGAAAACTAAGAGCTATAGACTAGTAGTCTTACTAACTGGATTTCTAGTTGAAGCTCTATAAATATCAATTCTAATCAATTCATAGGTAATCTGAACAGAATATATTTATCTCAGAGCTGTTGTTTTTCACTGAAAATTCCCACCTGTGGTAAACTTGCACTGTGAAGTCTATTTAATGCAAACTCTGCAGAGACACTTGGACTTTGTGTAATCAAACCCCTGCTGATGATCTCTACATGTTGTCCACTCCTGTTATCATCATAACTAAACTCATTATGAGGAAAAGAGGGGGTCCTGCCTCTACATTTGTTAATTCTAAAAATGAAGTTAAGCCATTTGAGCATCAAATAATTGGGCCTGTCGTATTTCTAAGGGTGATATTTCTAAAAGAAAAGTTTAACATGACTGAACATAAAGTGTAAAGTTTCACATAGATAACTTGTTACAAATGCAAATTTCAATTAGTATCATTATTTGGAAACCTCCTTTCCAACCATTTTTATAATGCTGTGTGATAATTCCCTTCGGAGGACTAGTTTTCGAACACAAAAGCCAGGTGAATAATCAACAATTGTTCCACTCTGCTGTAGTCTGTCATAGAGGAACGGATGAAATCATGGGGCTGATTCCATATGACACTACAGTATCAAATATGAGTCACTGAAATAAGACTTCTAGGGGTCTACCTGACTCTCAAAGAAAATTGATTGAATACCAGTGTGAAACAAATCACAAGGATTTAAAAGAAATAGAAATTACCATTTCCAACCTCAAACAGTTTATCTTCTCTTTCTATAAAATTACTTAAAAATGAAAATTAAGAAAGAAAAAGAAAAATAATATAATAGGTACAAGTATTAGCTACAATAGAAAAATACTAATTCTCTCTACTGAAAGCTTACTAACTCTGCTCTGGGCATTTTGAACATTTTACCTCCATTGTCTCATTTAATTCTTTCAACAATACTGTGAGTCAGTTAGTCACTATTATTACCTTTATTTAAGAAATAAGAAAACAAAACATGGAGACCTGTAAAGTTTTCAAGGTCATGTAGTAAGTGAGGCAGAATTGAAATTCAAACTACTGTCAGTCTTATTCCAGAGATCACACTTTTAATCACTACAGCAAATCACACAGCTATTAAAAAATCACATAAGTATTAAAGCATTAGCATACACAACAGATTATATAACATAGCTGTGTGAAACAATTTTATTCATTAAATCATTCATTCATTTCACAACTATTTATTGCATGCCTACTGTGCATTAGGCACTGATCTAGGCTCTGACAATACAGTAGTGAACAAAACATACACATCAATCCCGCCCTCATAGCATTTACATTTTAATGGAGGAGACTAGAAAGAAACAAAATAGGAAAGACAAGTATATAGGATCTTACTTTTAGAGATAAGTCAGAAGGAGAAATGATAAAGCAGGGAAATGATGAGGTTGGAAAGGAAATAGGGGCTAGGACAGGTAAGGCTTTTTTGATAATTATAATGGTTTTGACTTCTAGTTCGACTGAAGAAGGAAGTATTGAAAGCTTTTGAGTAGAAAAGAGACAATCTGACTTACATTTTCACAGAATCACTCTGGTAATTACTCTTGCGAATCAACTAACTGCAAGGGGCAAAGGGAGCTGCATGACTCAAGATCTAAAGTTAGTGCAATAATTCAGGCAAAGACGCAGTTGGCCTGGATCAAAGTGGCAGCAGTGGAGGCAGAGAGCAGTGGTAAAATCTTGACACCTTTTGAAGGGACAGTCACAGAGCTCGTAAAAGGACAGGCTGCCTGGTATGAGAGAGAAAAAGTTGAAAATAACACCAAGTTTTTTGGCCTGAGCAACTAGAAGAACAAAGTTGCCATTCATCGAGGTACAGAAAACTACAGGAGGAATTGTTTTTGTTGCTCGTGTGTGTGTGTGTGTGTGTGTGTGTGTGTGTGTGTGTGGTGGCAGGGTAGAAGGAGAACAAGTAGGGAGTGTTAGAAAATCAGTTTTTGAGTGTTATGTTAGAGATGTTCTTTCCATATTCAATTGGAGATGTCAAGTTCAGTTGGATACATGTATATAGAATTCAGGGGCAGCTACAGGCTAGAAATATAAACTTGGAGTACATGAGCACAGATGGCATAAAGTGCGTAGGGTGACCTCAGCAGCACGGGCAGTTCAACTGCAGTAACAGAATAGAGGGTAGGATATAAAAGCATAAATTCAGGTAAGTTGGTAAAAGTAGTGGTGGGAAATTTCTTCTCAATAATTTTCTTAGTGAGATAGGAAGAAATTCATTAACCGAGAAGAAAATATGGAAGAAAAAGGGGAGAGATGAGGGCAGAAAATATTTAAATAAAGGTGTTGACAGGAGAACTGACTACAGAGTACAGGGAAATACAGAAAGATTGCCAGGCAGCATTCATGATCATAAATTTAAAGTGAAATCGATATCACTATGTGGTTGTGTTCTTCTCCAGCCTTATTCATCTATGTTTATGCAGATTCCAAGTTGTTAGAGTTGATTTCACCAGAGTTTTGGTATCAACATGTGCATATGAAAAGCAGAGGGAAAGACAAAGAAACTGCAATTTTTGACTCACCATGGTGTTTATGGCATGTAAGCAAGAAGGAGATAATATCATGGAATGAAGAAGGATAAATGACAAAATGCAAGGTAGTAAGATGATTTAAGATCAGTTCTTAAATTCTGATGTAGTTAAAGGATATTTGGAGTCATGATATTACCAGGAGTAAGCTGGAAAGATACACAGCACTAGTCATAGTGGATACTCACAATTGAGATTTGTAAGAGCAATGTCAAGGGCATAATCATGGGAGTAAGTGTCTAAGGTAGGATGTTAAATGAAGTCACTGAAAAGGAGATTCAGTAACTAGAGGCCAGAACACTGGAAAAATTATCTACATTACTGTTGAGATCACCAAGTATCAAAACAAGGGAAGTGTTGAAGAGAGTGCCATTAAACTAGGAGACAAAATCATCCAAGAATAGGTGGGATGACCTGAGTGTTAACAGATGACTACACCAAAGAGAGGTAGTAATGGAACAGTCACACAAAAATCACAGTCAAGGCTTGATGGTTTTTTTTTTTTTGTCTTTTTTTTGTGACCGGTAAGGGGATCGCAACCCTTGGCTTGGTGTCACCCACACTGCGCTCAGCCAGTGAGCGCACCGGCCATCCCTATATAGGATCCGAACCCGCAGTGGGAGCACTGCTGCACTCCCAAGCGCCGCACTCTCCCGAGTGCGCCACGGGACCGGCCCAAGGCTTGATGTTTTTATGGAAGAGGGTAGGAGAATGATCTGGAAGTGGGATTAAAAAGAAAAAAGGAGGACATGCCCTATGACTCCAGCACTTGTGGTGAAGGAAGATGGAGGAGAAAACAGTCACCAGTTTGAAGATATGTAAGGGAAATAATCAAGGGAGAGACCAATATCAGTTACAAAAAACAATGTAAAGGAAATGTCCTTAAGGTAAGTTAATTGCCAAAGGGCTTTTGCTGATGACTGACTTGGAACTGCTCTGGAGTGAACAGTTTTAAAGGATGAAGAGGGGAAGGAAATGGAGGCAGAAATGGCAATGGTCAGTCTCATGGGAATTCAGAGTCCAGGAGGTGAGGCGCGTCCTGTGTGTCTTGTGGTGACGGATATGAACAGAGGAAAGAGGCATAATCAAATCATACCTCCTGTCAAATACGGGACATTATTATTACCTTAAGAACTGTTAGAAGGAATTAAAGAATATGACTTGGAGAAGACAGGGAGTGAGACTGCAGAGGGGATATAGGAGAAAAAATGTACAGTAGTAGAAAGGAGAGCTTCTCATAACTGCCCCCGCTTCCATTTCTGTCATTTTCCCACTGCCTACAAGGTAATTCCACATTCCTAAGCAAGATAACCAAGACCCTTCATACATAAATCCTTGCCCTAGCATTCCAATATTACCTCCCATTTCTTTTCCTTGTGTGAACTTCTTCTCAGTCATAGAAACAGGAGCATATGCTCATTCGGTCCTTAGGGTCTGCTGTGGTTTGGATGTTGTTTTTCCCTGCCTCAACTCATGTTGAAATTTAATCACCGGATGAACAGTACTGAGAAGTCCTGAGGCCTTTAAGAGGTGTTTCAATCATGGCAGCTTCACCCTCAAGAATGAATTAATGTCTTTCTCCCAAGACTCGGTTAGTTCTCATGGGAATGGATTGGTTTTTGCAAGAGCAGGCTGTTGTAAAGCGAGGTGGCCACTCATGTCTGGTGTTTTCCTACACATCTGCCTTT